GCTTCATTCAGCCTTTGGGAATCTAATAAATCATTCCTCTTATGTTCCAGTCCACAAAGACTTCCTCGTGGACGAGAACGAGGCTCAAAAAGCTAAAAACAGTCTGTCCCTAGGATCACGGCACTTTCTAAGTGTTTGATAAGCCTTCAACAACGTAATTCTTTTTCTTTTTTTTTTTTTTTTTTGAGACAGAGTCTCAGTGTGTCGCCCCAGCTAGAGTGCGGTTGCCTCAGCCTCGCTCTCAGCAGCCTCCGACTCCTGGCCTCAAGCGGTCCTCCTGCCTCGGCCTCCCTCCCGAGTAGCTGGGACGACAGGCGTGCGCCTCCATGCCCGGCTCATTTTTTTTCCATATGTTTTTAGTCGGCCAATTAATTTCTTTCTATTCTTCAGTAGAGACGGGGTCTGGCTCTTGCTCAGGCTGGTTTCCAACTCCTGACCTTGAGCGATCCTCCTGCCTTGGCCTCCCAGAGTGCTGGCAACAAAGTAATTCTTTAGAAGCTTAAAAAAAAAAAAAAAAAAACCCTGCTTTCCCTAGCAGATAAGCATTACATCTTTATAGACATTTTAAAAATCCTCAAAGCCTAACTACGCTCAATTTATGCTGCTTGAGCAAACTCCTAACATGAAGCTGCTAATTTAAATTCAAAGAGTAACTCCTTAATTTAAAAGTTAACCTGTTGGTTGATAAAGGTACTTCTGCGGTGTAAAAAAAAAAGAAAGAAAAAGAATAGAACTTTGTAAAATTTTATAAATAATTAAAAAAAAAAACAAACATTAACCTGGTTATGTCTCACTCCAAAATAAGCCCAAACGATAGAAAAGGGATGGAGGGGGGGGGGAAATGGGCATTTATTGAAACCTTAAAATCTGTACCCCCATAATATGCGAAATAAAAAAAAAAAAAAAAAGAAAGAAAAGGGATGGAAAACCTATTTTTAAAAATGTTAAGTTATGGTCAAAGATTGGGACATAAGGGAGCAGCCCTTTTTTACTTTAAAAGACCAAAAAAAAAAAAAAAAAAAAATGAAACCCAGGATCTTGGCTTCTTTATCTTGCCCCTTCTGCGGGTCCTGAACAAATGCCAGCAGCCCAGTAGCTGAAGTCACTGATAATGAACGATAAATTATAAACGCCAGAAACCCACTAGCTGAGCAATGTTTTTCTTTTTATAAGCCCACCCCAAAGACCAGGCTGAGTCACTTCCTCTCGGAAGCGCCCTGTGGCTCACGCCATATGGCCAACACGTGGCGACACGCAACTGCCTCACCTATGATAAAAATTAAATGTATATATGTAAAGAAAAAAAAAAATCAAAATCCACACCCCTCCCAACCCCACCAAAACCCAGATGTAGACGATTATGCCACGGGAAAACAGGGTTTTTTTTGTTTGTTTTGGAGAAGGAAAAAAAAAAAAACAACACAAAAAAACTAGACAGACCTTAATTAAAAGGAGGTGTATAGTCTCTCACTGGCAAAGTGACACCCAGTTTAGCTGATCCAAGAAACGATGCAAAGACTGCTTCTTAATTACTGCTGCTGCTGCTACGCTTTTTGGGAGGGCTGACAAAAGCCCCGGCTTTTCCGGATACTATAGACGGCTTTTTTTAAATAGGGGAGGGGGGGGGTCCCTGTACCTTAAATCGCGTTCGTTTGGGGTTCCATCATCAAAAGCCCCCGTTTTGGAAACGGCCACCTAGGACGGGCAACTATACAGGGACTCAAAAAGCAGCAGAGGGGAGCTTTCAAGAGTCTGCAGAACATACAACAAATCTCCAAGGGCTCCCCAAGCTTTGCAGATGGGGGTGCCCCTACTTCTCACTTAATGCTTGCTTCTGCTGCTGCTACGCTTTTGGGGGGAGCTGACAAAAACCAGGCCTTTTCCGAATACTACAGAGGGCTTTTTTTTTTTTTTTATAAGGGAGGGGGGATCTCCTGTACCTTAAATCGTGTTGATTTGGGGGGGCCACCCTCAACCCTTCCTTTTTTTTGCAACGCCAAAGCAAGGGCATCATCTATATAAGGACTCGAAGCACGATGAGCAATCAAAAAGCAGCAGCAGGAGGGGATATTCCAAGAGTGTGCAGAGAATATATAACAAATCTCCAAGGGCTCCCCAAGTTTTGCAAATGGGGGTGCCCCTACTTCTTTCTTACTGCTTTGCTCCTGCTGCTATGCTTTTTAGGGGGACTGACAAAAGCCCTGCTTTTTCGGGATACTACAGAGGACTATTTTTTTTAAAGGAGGGGGGATCCCTGTACCTTAAATCGTGTTGATTTGGGGGGAGCCACCCTCAACCCCCCACTCTTTTTGCAACGCCAACCAAGAAGCACGGGCATGTATCTATATAAGGACTCAAAGCACGATGAGCAATCAAAAACCAGCAGCAGCAGCAAGGGGAGCTTTCAAGAGTCTACAGTATAATAAATCTCCAAGGGCTCCCCAAGTTTTGCAAATGGGGGTGCCCCTACTTCTTTCTTACTGCTTTGCTCCTGCTGCTGCTACGCTTTTGGGGGGGCTGACAAAAACCAGGCCTTTTCCTAATACTATAGAGGACTTTTTTTTTTTAAAGGGAGGGTCCCTGTACCTTCAATCCTGTTGATTTTGGGGGGGCCACCCTCAACCCCCCACTTTTTTCTTTGCAACGCCAATCAAGAAGCACGGGCATCATCTATATAAGGACTCGAAGCACGATGAGCAATCAAAAAGCAGCAGCAGCTTTCAAGACACTGCAGAAAATATATAACAAATCTCCAAGGGCTCCCCAAGCTTTGCAAATGGGGGTGCCCCCACTTCTTTCTTACTCCTTTGCTCCTGCTGCTACGCTTTTGGGGAGGCTGACAAAAACCAGGCCCTTTGCAGATACTATACAGGGCCCTTTTTTCTTTAAAGGAATGGGGAGTCCCCTGTACCTTAAATCGTGTTGATTTGAGGGGAGGGCACCCTAAACCCCCCACTTTTTTTTTTTTTTGCAATGCCAACCAAGATGCACAGGCATCTATCTATATAAGGACTCAAAGCACGATGAGCAATCAAAAACCAGCAGCAGCAAGACCGGAGCTTTCAAGAGTGTGCAGAGAATACGATAAATCTCCAAGGGCTCCCCAAGCTTTGCAAATGGGGGTGCCCCTACTTCTTAATGCTTGCTTCTGCTGCTACGCTTTTGAGGGGGCTGACAAAAACCAGGCCTTTTCCTAACACTACAGAGGAATTTTTTCTTTTAAAGGGGAGTCCCTGTACCTTAAATCCTGTTGATTTTTTGGGGGGGAGCCACCCTCAACCCCCCACTTTTTTTTTTGCAATGCCAATCAAGAAGCACGGGCATGTATCTATATAAGGACTCAAAGCACGATGAGCAATCAAAACCCAGCAGCGGCAGCAAGGGGAGCTTTCAAGACTCTACAGAACATACAATAAATCTCCAAGGGCTCCCCAAGCTTTGCAAATGGGGGTGCCCCTACTTCTTTCTCACTCCTTTGCTCCTGCTGCTATGCTTTTTAGGGGGGGACTGACAAAAGCCCTGCCTTTTCGGGATACTACAGAGGACTATTTTTTTTTAAAAGGGGGGGAGTCCCTGTACCTTCAATCCTGTTGATTTTTTTTGGGGGGGTGCCACCCTCAACCCCCCACTTTTTTTTTGCAACGCCAACCAAGATGCACAGAAAGCATCATCTACATAAGGGCCCAAAGCACGATGAGCAATCAAAACCCAGCAGCAGCAGCAGCAGCAAGGGGAGCCTTAAAGACTCTACAGAACATATAACAAATCTCCAAGGGCTCCCCAAGCTTTGCAAATGGGGGTGCCCCTACTTCTTTCTTACTCCTTTGCTCCTGCTGCTGCTGCTACGCTTTTTAGGGGGGACTGACAAAAGCCCTGCTTTTTCGGGATACTACAGAGAACTATTTTTTTTTAAAGAGGGGGGATCCCTGTACCTTCAATCCTGTTGATTTTTTTTGGGGGGGTGCCACCCTCAACCCCCCACTTTTTTTTTTTTATTTTTATTTTTTGCAACGCCAACCAAGAATGCCCCAAAAGCATCATCTATATAAGGGCTCAGAGCACGATGAGCAATCAAAACCTAGCAGCAGCAGCAGCAAGGGGAGCCTTAAAGACTCTACAGAACATATAACAAATCTCCAAGGGCTCCCCAAGCTTTGCAGATGGGGGTGCCCCTATTTCTCACTCCTTTGCTCCTGCTACGCTTTTTAGGGGGGGACTGACAAAAACCAGGCCTTTTCCTAGCACTACAGAGGAATTTTTTTCTTTTAAAGGGAAGGAGGGTCCCTGTTGATTTGGGGGGGGGTGCCACCCTCAACCCCCCACTTTTTATTTTTTTATTTGCAACGCCAACCCAGAATGCCCAAAAAGCATCATCTACATATAAGGGCTCAAAGCACGATGAGCAATCAAAAACCCAGCAGCAGGAAAAAGAACTTTCTAGAGTCTGCAGGACGCAGGCTGAATGTCCCCCCAAGGGCTCCCCCCAAGTCTGGCGGGGACACACACCCCGGTCTCCTTGGCAACCGGCCCGCCAGGCTCCCCCGCCCCTCCCCCAGCGCAAGGCGTAACCCTTCCCCCGCCCAGCCCATCCCCCCAGTTCTCTCTCTCTCTCTCCCGCCCCCCAACCCACCCGGGGACCCCACTTCCTGTCCGCGGTTTCCCGCCAAACCCGCCTTCCGGGACCCCCGCCCCCACCCGCGCTCCCCGCGAACAGGGCGACCAGCACAGGACTCGGTAACAGGAGACGACGGGCCGGAGAGATCCCAGAGCCCAAACCCCGACCTCCAACCGGGCACCCCAGAAAGACTGGGGGGGGGCGGGGTGACGGAAATGGGGGTCCCCCGAGCCCCCGAAGGCCGGGGACGCCGAGGCCTGAGGCGACCGGCGGCCGCCATGGCCGCCATGGCCGCCATGGCCGCCGTCCCGCGTCGTCCATCCCGGCCCGGAACCGCCGCCGCCTCCCAGGCGCACCGCTCTCCCCCCCGGAGCCCGGGCCTCACCGGCGGCTGCGGCGGAGAAGGCTCGGACGCAACCCCGGGGACGGCGGCTCTCGCCAGGCGGCGGCGGCGGCGGCGGCTGTTTATCTCCGGGGCTTGGCTGCGCCACACGCGGGTCTGCACACGGCCCCACTCTCACGCCGCTGCGCACGGCTCGCGCGCCGGCGCGAGCCAATCAGCGCGCGCGCCGCCCCTCCCTCCCCCGCCGCGGCGGGCCAATGGGAGGCGCCGCTGGCCGCCAGCGCGGAGCGTGCGTCGCGACGGCGCGGCGCCACGCCTGAAAAAGGGAGGGAGCGGGGAGGGGAGGGAAAGAAGGGGCGGGGCCTGGAATGGGGACGCGCGTGCGCAGCGCGGGCTTCTCCCTGTTTTTTCCCCCACCCCCACCCAACGCGGCGTGCCCCGGCCTCTGCGCGCGGCGTCACGGCGCCGCTCCCGGCGTGCCCCGCGCCGCCGCCGCCGCAGCCTCGAGGGCGCACGCGCGCGAGGCCGGCTTTTCCGGTCGGGCGGCCTGCCATAGCGGCCTTCTCCCCGCAGCTCCGGACCCCACGGAGGCTTTCGAGGGTGGTGACTCCTCCATTGGCGAGGAGCCCGAGCAACAACGTCCAGACTCTTTCCTGGGCGCCCGCCAGGCCCGTGTCTTTCGGGGAGGGGGGAAAACAGACGCGACTTCCGGCTTCCGGTTTCTCGGTCCCTCGTTTGGAGGAAAAGTCGGGGCTGTGAGGAAGCGCGGCGGTTGCTATGGCTACAGGGCCTCACTCTATAGAGATGTGTTTTGGGGTTTTTTGGGGTGTGTGTGTGACCCCCGGAAGGCCTCGCTGGTGTCGCCCCAGCGGGGACTGAGGAGGCGGCCTCCCCAAAATACAGGTGCCCGGTCTCGCCTGTCGTCCCAGCGCCCTGGGAGGCCGAGGAGGGAGGCTCGCTGGAGGCCAGGAGGTGGAGGCCGGCCTGAGCAAGAGCGAGACCCCGTGTCTACTAAAAATAGAAAGAAAAAAAAAAAAGGAAATGAGCTGGAAAACTAAAAATATACAGAAAAATTGTAACCCTAGCGGTGTGGGAGGTCGAGGAGGGAGGATCGCTGGAGGTCAGGAGTTAGAGGCCAGCCTGAGCAAGAGCGAGACCCAGTGTCTACTAAAAAAAAAAAGAAAAAAAAAAGGAAATGAGCTGGAAAACTAAAAATATACAGAAAAATTGTAGCCCTAGCGGTGTTGGAGGCCGAGGAGGGAGGATCGCTGGAGGTCAGGAGTTGGAGGCCAGCCTGAGCAAGAGCGAGACCCAGTGTCTACTAAAAAAAAAAGAAAAAAAGGAAAGAAATGAGCTGGAAAACTAAAAATATACAGAAAAATTGTAGCCCTAGCGGTGTTGGAGGCCGAGGAGGGAGGATCGCTGGAGGTCAGGAGGTGGAGGCCGGCCTGAGCAAGAGCGAGACCCAGTGTCTACTAAAAAAAAAAAAGAAAAAAAGGAAAGAAATGAGCTGGAAAACTAAAAATATACAGAAAAATTGTAGCCCTAGCGATGTTGGAGGCCGAGGAGGGAGGATCGCTGGAGGTCAGGAGGTGGAGGCCAGCCTGAGCAAGAGCGAGACCCTAACGATAAAAATATATAGAAAAAAAATGAGCGGCGTGGTGGCTCACGCCTGCTCGTCGCCAGTACTCTAGGAGGCCGAGGCGGGAGGATCGCTGGAGGTCAGGAGTTGGGAGGCAGCCTGAGCAAGAGCGAGACCCCGTCTTACTAAAAAAAAAAAAAGAAAGAAAACACAGAAAAATTAATTGTGGACTAACTAAAAAATAAATATAGAAAAAATGAGCCGCGTGGTGGCCCAGCTGCTCGGGAGGGGCTGAGGCGGAGGATCGCCTGGAGTCAGGACGTTGGAGGCCAGCCTGAGCAGAGCGAGACCCCGTCCCTACAAAAAATACAAACAAATTAATTGGCGACTAAAAATAAATATAGAAAAATTAGCTGGGATGGTGGCGTGCTGTAGCCCAGGCTACTCGGGAGGAGCTGAGGCAGGCAGGCTCGCTCGAGGTCAGCAGGGTGGAGAACCACAATGTGAGCATATAATATGGTTAACACGTAAAAAAAGAGATGCAAATATATAATTATATACCAGGAATCACTAGATTGAGAGAAAGGTCGCGCCCATGGACAACTAAAAAGTATATATAGAAAATGAGCCGCGTGACGCTAGGTTGGCAGCTCGGAGTAGAGACATCTTGCTTCGTGTGTATGTACAGTGTTTTTGGTAGTCCGGCCAGGAGCGCTGCAGTGGTCATGCGCCTTCAGTTGTCACGCACGAGGTTGGGCGCGCGCCTGTCAAAAGTGCCTCTCTCATCGACTCCTAGGCCTCATCCAAAGGCATCCTCCCAGTAGCTGCCGCCATCGAACTCGCGCACGTTTCGAAGACTGAGGTCACCTATGCCCTCGGGCGGAGCAGCCGTGCGGGCTCCACCTTTCTATGAAGGACTCTCTATTATTGGCTCCTGGTCACTTAATGTTGATGTGTAGTTGTCTTGGAAGTCTCACTCTTCTCTCTTTGCACTCGTTGTGTTAACCTCTGTTGTCGTATATATATTTTCCTCCACGTACGCGCACGGCGCCCGACCACGGCCGGACCACGAAAACGACCATGACCACGACCACGTCCAGGGCCTCCTGTGCGAAGCGGTCTCGCTCTTGCTCAGGCTGGCCTCCAACTCCTGACCTCCAGCGATCCTCCTGCCTCGGCCTCCTAGAGTAGCTGGGACGACAGGCGTGAGCCACCACGCCCGGCTCATTTTTTTTCTATATATTTTTAGTCGTCTAGCTCATTTCTTTTCTCATTTTTTTAGTAGAGACGGGGGTCTCGCTCTTGCTCAGGCCGGCCTCGAACTCCTGACTTCCAAGCCATCCTCCCGCCTCGGCCTCCCTCCTGAGCAGCTGGGCTACAGGCATGTGCCACCACGCCGCGTCATTTTTTCTGTCTATTAGTTGTCCAATTAATTTTTTTAATTTATAGTAGAGATGGGTCTCGCCTTGCTCAGGCTGGCCTCCAACTCCCGACCTCTATTGAGCGATCCTCCCCGCCTGGGCCTCCCGGATCGCTAGGAGGACATATCTCTGTCTCTCCTGTTGCTTTGTAAAAACCAGCCACGAGTCCCCCAGCGTCCTGACCAGGGCCTTGCAAACCGCTGGAGTCACCCGGGGCCTCCTCCCCTGGTTGAGGCCAGGACTCGGAGGCCGCCGGGAGAGGAGGCTGAGGCCAGAGGCAGGCAAGAGTGTGAGAGTCTGCCTCAAATAAAAAAATAATAAATAAAATAAAAAAAAGCTATTGGCATTAAGACGACGGCCATTCTAGAAATTCCGGCTTCTGTCTCTGGTGTCCTGCGGAGGCCGAGGCTCGCGGAGGCCGGCCACGCCCAGTGCTGTCGCCAGCACACCAAAATGCACGTGAGACGCAGCACTCCTGAGGGAGCAACAACACAGGAAACCAAAGCGACTAGTAGTCAGAACAATGCTCTGTCATAATAGGAACATAGATCAGAGTTCAAACCCGACGATCGCGACTCAAGTAACACACCGGCTCTCCGGGAAACGAGGACACGAAGAAGCCCCAGAGAGCGCAAACCCAGAACCCACAAACACCCAAAACCCGCATCCCCGCACACCCGAACAAAAAGGAGCACACCCAACCCAAGACGCTCGCCCAAGACGATAGAAACAACCACAACTAGAGGCACAGCGCGACACGCGCGAAAACTAGAAAGGGTGCGAATGCACCTTGCGAGGCGTAAGATGACCCTTAACAGCGCGCGAATGATCTCAGTACTAATCACTTGACAACGCGCGGAGACAGCAGAGCAGCCCGAGAAGGGAGGAGAGGGCAAGAGCCAGACAAGTGAGAGCCCACTTTATTAGCACAAAACTCAGAGCTCTGCAGACCCACATCAGATGCTGCAGAGATCACAAACAGAAAAAAAGGACCAAACAAGAACAAAAAAAACGGGAATCAAACAGGAACAAAAAAAATAACACTAAGTAGTATGACACATACAAAAGCACCCATCGACACGTAACATAGTACAGTACCAAGCTCACGCTCCATGATCCTCACGTAGAGAGCACTCTAGTAATCGCCATGACGAGAACGTGAGTGCAGTATGACAGCCAGCCACACTCGCAAACTATTGAATGATCGACAGATAAAAACTACAAAATGACACCTCATAACGACGCGTTGAACACTCCAAAAGTAAAAATAGTATACAGAATAGGACTCCCTTATATGAAAGATGACAAATAATGACAAAGAAATCATTATATAAGCAAATAAATAAGCGTACACAAAAATAAAATAATAAGGATAAGATTAAATAACAACATAAATAGTCAGGTGTGTATAAAATATTATAGATATAAATAACCAGTATAAAGATAATAATAAAAAAATAACAAAATACGTAAAATAAACTACGGCACGATAAAAAAATAAAAAAATAAGCAAGTGAAATACAAGTAAACAATAATACAGTAAGTGTAAACACAAATATAATATACAAGTATTTGTATAAGTAATTATAAAGAATATAACATGAAACACATAAGTAGAAATAAATGAGTAAAAAACAATAAAAGATAACACACGAAAATAATAAGAACCTATGCTAAAGAACATACATTACGATATATATAAAGTAAAATACACACGAAAAATAAACGAAAAGTAAATAAATAACGCAATAAGTAAGGTTTAAATGGTAAATAATAATGAGCTAAAAAAAAATAAGTTACTCAATAATACCATAACAAAAAAATACTAATAAAGATCAATATATATGTAAAAGTAAAAAAACTAAATAACCCGTAATAAATAAAATAGTAAGTAATATAAACAAATAAAATATAAGTAAATAAAAATAACAATACAACAAAAGTAATAAAATACACGAACAAATATATACAAGTACCAATCAAAAACAATAATAAAGGAATAAAGATAAAAAAAAATAAACATAACAAGTAAAGAAAAAATAACGAAAATAATAAAAACAAAACCAAAAACAAAAAAAAAACAAAACCAAAAATAATACACCACTTA